AGAAACAACAACAAAAAAGAGCATTTAAAAAATATATATATATATTAACCACGTCTTTTATTTTCTGTATTCTGATGCTTGGACATCTTGGGGCTTTGCTGACCCTGCAGGGACTGCCCCTCTCAGGGTTAGCCAATTCCTATAGAGCCTAAAGAATGTATTTTCAAATGAAAACCAACCAATGCAGAGCCGACACCCCAACCAGCTCCTTTACTGGCTCTCATACTCCAGGCAACTATCCCCATGCCCCTGATCACTCAGGTTCCTGACAACTAGGGACAGCCTCTGTGCCCCAGAGCCCACTGAAATGATTCAAACGAGCCACTCCTAAGCCTGCTCACCCTACCTTGCCCATTCCTTCCTGTAAAACAGAAATAAAGGCTCCTGCCCCCCATACCTCCCTCACCCTCTGAGCCCTGGCCAACAATGGGACTTCCCTGCATGGCCCCTCGTGGAGTGGTGTGGCCCCTTGTCATGGACTGAATGTTTGTGTCCCCCTAAAATGCATTATGTTGACATCCTAACCTCCAATGTTATGGTATTAGGAAGGGGAGCTTTGGGAGGTGATTAGGTTTAGAGGAGCTCATGATGTAATCAGTACCCTTGTAAGAAGAAATCAGAGTGTGCTCTCTCTTCCTCTTTCTCTGCCATATGAGGCTACAGTGAGAAGCCAGGAAGAGGGTCCTCACCAGACACTGAAGTCGCTGGCACTTTGATCTTAAACTGCCAGCCTCCAGAACTGTCAGAAATGAATGTCTGTTGTTTAAGCCACCCAATCTATTGTATTTTGTTATGGCAGCATGAACTAAGACACCTCTCTTCTTGGGAATTGTAACAAACTATCTCTTCAATGGCAGCTGTGTCCTGATCTGTATCTCAAATTTTCTATGAATACACTGTATTTTGAAACAGGCAGTCATATATTCATCTAAGGAGATTGGTGTTCCTTGCTTTGATGGGGCTCTCCTTTAAAAGAACGGAAAAAACACTCAGTCCAACAACACATGCCTTTCTCCAACGAGAAGGCAACCAAGGCTGCAAAAAGCCAAGGTCTGTTGAGCCAATGCGTCTGACGGATGCTCTGTGGGTCACACTGCCTCCAAGAACCCATGCCATTACAGTGGTTTCTGTGGCTGTGAGAGTAACATTGGACTAGGGTGCATGCAACCCCAACCATCAGGACATAGGCTACTTACATCAATTAAATGCTTGACTTCATGCTTTTTGAGGTCACTTCCGATTTTGGCTGCTAACAGCACACATGCTCCAGCACAAAGCTTCCGGTTCTGTTTGTTTAGCTTTCCTTTGAGGGCGAGCTTCTCAAAGTAGACAAAGGCCATGGCTACCGTGGGCTCCTCGAAGCCACAGTCCTCCTGGGCCAGCTTCCGCATCTCTCGCTTCAGACTAGAGAAAGATAGGAAAGGGCGAAGTCTGAGTAGAACTTGGGAGTTTCAGGGACCCCAGAGAAAAAAGACTACTTCATCTTGAAAGCATTTCCTCTTTCTCATTCCCAGAAGGGTGACGTGGAATGAAATTAAATCCCTATGAGTGAGAAAGTTACATAATGAGTGAGGAATAAACTCAACTCGCTGGGGTTTCAGACTCCTCTTCTAGTGAAGTTCTGTAGACCACGTCGACATGGGACACAAAGGACCACATTGAACCCTAGTGGACGTCTGAGGGTCTCTCTGGAAACTAGGAGAGTTGTCCAAAGTGACAGAGGGAAACTATGAGGAGAACTACAGCCATTCCAGAGAGATGAATATAGCAATAAATTAGGTACTTGGTCAGCTCTGCAGAATATCAGTTACGTGCATTAACTACAGCAGAAGAAGGGCTGGACTAAGAGCCCAACAACCAGTGTGCTTAGGAAAGTTACCCAGCAAGCGGACAAAGTATGAATCGTTAGTTTTTCTTACTTCGTTGGCTCAAAACATGCCAGAATCAAATCAGTATTAGGATACATGTGAACATGTGTATAGTCTAGCCCCCATGACTGACCACACACACACACACACACACACACACACACACACACATTTTGCTGTCCTGGCATACAGATACCACCAGTCAGCTTCTCTGTGGCCCACCAAGGCTAGTCCTCTTGACTATTTGGTTGGCAGACATGAGCCACCACAAGTCGATCCAATCAGCTAGAGAGAAAATCCAGGCCTGATTTTGCTTTGGCTGTTTTGCTGACTGCTTAAAGATAGGGCTTGGCTGTCAATTCTGGAAAGATGACTGTTGGTAAAGAGTTATCTCAAATCCTATGGTACCAACCCTTTTCTCTTCTGTTTTGTCTGCATTTGAGAAAGCAGGGAACCGAATGTTTCCTCTTCTCTGAGCTTTCCATGACATAAATCTTAATAAACTGGGGAGCTCCAGATAGTGCGAAATGATCCACCAAAGGAAGCGCTTCCCAGATCCTTGCCAGCTCATGTCAAGAACTCTGCTCTCCGTCCTGCTTCCCTTGGCGCTCTCATATAGGGGTGCCAGGCACCCAGCATCGCCTGAGCTTCTTTTTGCTGAATGTGCCAATATTTCACTTGAACCGTCATACAAAGCATGGGCTTAAGGCATGCTGAGAGGAGACTGAAGGGAAAGTTCATACCTCCTGATTTTGCTGAGTGTTAATTTAATGTGAGGAAACTTCTCCTTGAAGGTCTCATTCATGTCCTTCTTGAGATCTGAGGGCTTCACGTAGTCGATTACTGTGGTCTGTAACAGATCAGGCAACAAGGTCACACCAATAAGGGTCCTGGGTAATAACTGTGTGTACTTTTCGGCTAACTGACAACTTCCAACACCACCACGCCGTGGGAACCCAGGTGAGCACCAGAATAAGGGCTCTGCTTCATACAGGAGCCTGAACAAGGCCATGGCCCCTGGAGTAGAGGGAAACCAAATCCCTGCTCTTAGCAGAACCAAGTGACGTTTAGGAACACTGGCCTCTCACCCTTCAGGGGTCAGTGTCTGGCACAGAGGGGAATCCCTCTGTCAGCTCATGTGTTTCAGCCTGTAATTCACATAGTGCTTGGGGCCTGCAATTTGGACTCACAGATCTGGGTGCACTCTACACTTGACCTTCACCAGTGGTCTGGGTGTGGGAGGCTGACTTAATGACCCTGGACCTCAGGTGCCACATCCATAAAATGGAAACAGTAACAGTGCCTACTTCGTATGGCTATTTCGAGAACCATGTGAGAAGTACAGCGTTCTGTGCAGTGCTTGGCATATAACAAATGCTCAATAAATATTAGCTATTATTATTTAATTGTGGGAAAATATACATAAAATTTACCATTTTAACCATTTTAAGTGTACAGTTCAGTGGCATTAAGTACATTCAGTGTTGTGCAGCCACCACCAGCATCCATCTCTAGAACTTTTTTATCTTGCAAAGCTGAAATTCTATACCCAGTAAGCACTAACTCCCCAACCCCTCCCCTCAGCACCTCCTGGCAGCCATCATTCTACTTTCTTTCTCTCTTAATTTCACTATTCTAGGTACCTCATACAATGGAATTAAATAGCATTTGTCCTTTTGTGATTGGCTTATTTCACTTACATAATGTCCTCAAGGTTCATTCATGTTGTAGCATGTGCCAGAATTTCCTTCCTTTTTAAGGCTGAACAATATTCTATCCTATGTATATAATGTTAGCTATGATTAATATCCCCTAGAGACTTGAGTTTCCTCCTCTTCCCCTCCCTGTTTCTAATTCTACCCATCCTTAAAGGCTGGCTCCTTTGAGCCTTTTCTGAGTCCTCTGGTCTTCCCTGCTCATCTGTGCTTTACTCTATTAACTCTGAATTAAACAGTCTCTGTCTGGGTCTCACCAGTCTAGTCTCATCTCTCCTCCTCAGGAGTAACTTTCAAAGGGCTGCGACAATGAGTGACACCTCTTCTGGCTGGCCATAGGCAATAACCTTCATCAGGCAAAGCCAGAGAAAGGAGAAACTACAACTTCTGATGTCATCCTGTTGCCATGGACAGCCGCCATTGCCAGCCTCTTCTCAGGCAAGTGCCTGGCCTTTTCCAGAAGATGCATCAGCGGTTTCCTCAACAGCTCTAACAAAAGCTGGTGGCTTTCTGTGAACACCGCCATTCAGCAGGAACTTGGTTCCATGTGATTTTAGAAGAGGCACATGGAATGCCTCTGGTGTCGGTTAATAGCCAAAAACAGTCCAAATTCACACTGATCTTAACAGCACTTTCTTTCCTTTTCTGGTGAATAAAGGCAAACGCAACAATATTAATTAACTCAAGCAACTCCACCACAGTTGTTCAGGGCTTTCTCAAATTCTGGGTGGAGGCGGGCGCAGCGGGTGCGATGCCTCCGCTTCTTCCTCGGAGCCATGCTCTTTCTGGCCCCATCAGGAAGGCACTCCCTCGGCTGGCCCGGGACATGCCCATTCTGGTAGCTGTCATGTGTGCCTGCAACGTGCTGGTAAGGAGCAGGGAAGTGGAAATGCAACTGTGCAGCACTCGCGTGCAGGCACATGCGCACGTTCACATGTGTGTGAGTGCACTCTGCCAGGAGGGGAGGAGGACGCACCGCATTTTATAGAGGCCACTTACTGCCAAGGTCCAGCAGAGTACACGCTTCTGCTGTCCTCCAAGATGGGCTTGTTTCCCTTCCTACTTTTCAAAACTGCTCTATTTCATCTCAAACAAATGTCTCTGCTGAGGGAACAGGATGGCAGATTTTTCATTTAGGAAATGGGTAACAGGATGGGGGACCACATCTAACAAGTTTACCTAGAGCTGGGCCCATTGGCCAATTACCCCATTCTTCTGTTTCCTAAATACTCAGCACCCCGCCACACACACCCTTTCTTCCACCCATCCCACATCCAGGCACCCTGGACTACCAGGGACAGCCCCTCCTGCTCTTCCTCTGTGGATGAAAGTCACGAGGTTTGCAATGATGCGAGCAGGCTCAGGCAAAGAGTCCCTGGCCTTGGTTGGGGGCCAAAGGCTGTGAACCCCAAGCAAGAATATCCTGGGGGAGGGGGTGGGCCTGGATCCTCCCAGAGGCAATCACAGCAGCTCTGCTTTTTTCTGTCTTATACGTAGGTACATGCAACACTTCTCTTGAAAGGAGGTTCCCACTGCCAAAAACGTTTACAAATGCATTCCAGCCACCTCATCTTACAGATAAGGAAACAGAGGGTCAGAGATGAAGAGGCTTATCCTAGATCCCCGCAGGCTAAGGCAGGACCAGTGCTGGGATTCAGGTCTCCCCGCCACACCTACTGCCTTCTTGCTTTTCTGTTCTTAACAGACTCAAAGGAGCTGGAAAGAGTAGGTTTGGATGGTGGTCAGCGGCTACCTCCAACAAGTTGGGCAACTCGGAGAAAGTGGCTTAACCTCCCTGAGCCGTACCTTCCTCTTCTCTGCACGAGCTAGGGATTACCTGACAGGGCTGTTTCATAGGTTTATCTTTCAAGATCAAACAGAACAGAACGTATTTAAAGGATACTGAAGAATTTTATCGAGATCATCACAGGGGAAGACAGCAGCCAATTGGGCTTGGCTCCAGTTGCACTGAGTCAGTGTCTGAGGTGGGGCCCTGCTATCTGCACCATGATGTTGCCCAGGTGATTTTCATGCGAATCACTTTCTCCTTGCCTGGCTAACGCCCATCTGTGCTTTGGCTTGTAATGCCGCATCTGCAGGGCCATCTTCCCTAAACCCCCTGCCGTTAGAGTGCTCTCCCAGGGACTCTTGCTTCATTATACACTACGGTTTGGATATCCGAACCTTCTGTACCTCCCGACTCCTTTGCAGCTAAGATTCTAAATACAAGTCCAGTTCTTCCTAGCCGATGTACCAGTGTGAGAATGCAGAATTGAAGCAGAGGCTGCTCTTCTGTTGTTTCTGCTGCCAAGAGGAGTCGGGGCAGGAGTCCTAGGGTCTGAGTGTCCATTTTGCAGGTGTAAACCACAGCAGGCACAGCTTCCAGACCATGGAGGTGGCAGCACTGCCACGTATGGAGTTGGTGGCCCGTACAGCCCCCTGGTGGTCTGGCTCTGCAGCATGGCTTTGGGGTCATTTCTGAAATCCCAATTTAGGCTGTTTCTTCAACCCCTCCTGCGATTCTATGAGCTATTTTAGTACCCTGTAATAAATCCTTTTCTTCTTAAACTAGCTCAAGTGGATGCTAAACCATGACTGATGGTTCACTGCTTTCTTTCATTGATGGCATTTATCACTAGGGTAAGGATAGAGATTCTGATTCCCCTAAAGGCACCAATCATACGTTCTCAGGGACACCAAGTCTTGCCCTGGGGCCCTCACGTGCCACTTCCTGACCAGTCCTTGATTGTGTTTGACTCCATGAGTACCAACAACCCAGTTCAGCTTGCAGCCCGGGAGCTGGGGCAGGGAGGGCTCAGGCTCAGCCCGACCTTGCAGGAGAGACTCTTTATACAAGTAGCCTCATCCTGGCTCTTTGGAACACCGAGCTGCATCCTACTTCTCCTGAGGAATGAGTGCACATGTATATTTATTTCCAGACTAGACCCAAGAGAGGGGGACAGAGAGGGCCAGTGAGCTGATGCTATGAGACCCTTGGCCCACCGCCTGGTGCCCAGCTAGGGCGGCATAGCAGCCGCAAGGACAGCCAGGCTCTTGAGTTCATCTTCTAGCTGACAGAATTCTCAAGCTTGGCTCTGCTGCCCAGAGGGACAGAAGCTGTGTTCTGTGTTCCTTTCTGTGTGGAGTTTCCAGCCACGGGGCCATGTCCTACAACTACTCCCAGCACTGAGTAGAAGGCTTGCTGGCAGCCTGATCCTCCTCCTGCTCATCCACTTTGCCATCACCTGGCTACTCTGAGTCTTTTCTAAACTAGATACAGTACGTTTTGGGGTGGGGGTGGGGGTTCTGCAAATCTCCATCATTCTGTCAAGGCCCCCTATTTCCTGACCTCCAGATGACCAGCAGCCCCGGCCTCCCCAGCCATCAAGGGTGTGCGGCAGAGGAAGAGGCCCCGTCAAGGCAGGAAAGAACAGGCCAGCTGGGCCCAGCATTCGCAGAGTGGCTGCTTTGGGAAATCCAAGGGCATCGGGGAAAGCAGGCTGGGAAGGCTGACTGCTGGAGGCTTGCTGCTGCCATACCTGAGGCAGGTACCCAGAGCATTCTAGTCCGTTTGCTTACATCTATTTTGGGGGTGAGGTAGATGGGCTATTGGAGCAATGAAATGCCTCCAAGACTCATGATGGAAGGAGGATGGTGGGAAATCGTGGATGTCAGCCTGAGCACCTTAGGCTGGTGGAGAACGTGAAAGTGGTTGTATTGGTTTCCTGTGGCTGCTGTAACAAAGTACCATAGATGGTGTGTCTTAAACAACAGAAATTGATTGTCTCACAGTTCTGGAAACTAGAAGTCTGAGATCAAAGTGTCAGCAGAGCCACGCTCTCTCTGAAACTCGAAACAGAATTCTTCCTTTTATTTTTATTTGATGGAGTGACGGCTGCATCACTCCAATCTCTGCCTTCACGTGGCTTTCTGCCCATGTCTGTGTTCACATGGCCACCTTCTCTCTGTTTCTCTGTCTTCTTATAAAGACACCACTCGTATTGGATGCAGTATGACTTCATTGTAACTAATTTATATCTGCAAACACCTTATTTCTAAATAAGGTCATATTGTGAGGTACTGGGGGTTAGGACCTCAACCCATCTTTTGGGGGGGGGGGCTCAATTCAACCCCT